CATTTTCACTGTACAGACATTTTTTTGGCCGTATTGTACCAGACTCCAAGTTATCTCCTAGAGGATTTTTAATGACTCATATTTTTGTTGGTATTTTTTTCAGCCAGCAATCCGCTCAAGTGTTGAAGAGTGCTTCCGCGAGAGAATTCAAGAACTGTGCTTAGGTGAGTGTCTGTTAAAATTTTCTTCATTCAAGCATCAGAATAGAGCAGTGATTTGGTAGGAGACTGTTCCTTTTTTTCTATGCATTTAATATTTTTGATCAAAATTAGAAACCAGAAAACGTCATTCAATTACCTCTACGAAAAAAAATAATCCTGGCCATGATGGTTAGGCTTCTCAATTATCCCTTCTAAAAAAATATCCTCCAAGCCATAGTCTCCTCAATTATTCCTTCTAAAAATATCCTCCTAGCCATGATGGTTAGCCTCCTCAATGATCACATCTAAAAAATATCTTCCAAGCCGTGATGCTTTGTCTGTTCAATAATCTCGTCTAAAAAATTTTTCTCCAAGCCATGATGATTACTATCCTAAAATATTATCCATTCTAAAAAAAAATAGCTTCCAAGCCGTGATGGTTTGTGCGTTCAATAATTTCTTCTAAAAAAAATTCTCCCATTCATAATAGTTAGTTTCCTCAATTATCCCTTCTTAACAAATATCCTCCAAGCCATGATGGTTAGTCTCCTTAATTATCCCTTCTAAAACAATATCCTCCAAGCCACAATGGTTTTTATTTCAATAATCCCTTCCAAAAAATTCCTCCTAGCCATGATGTTTAGTCTCCTCAATTTTCCCTTCTAAAATATCCTCCTAGCCGTGGTGATTAGTCTCCTCAATTATCCCTTCTAAAATATATCATCCAAGCCATGATGGTTTTCATTTCAATAATCTCTATCAAAAAAAATCCTCCTTGCAGTGATGATTAGTCGCCACAATAATTATCCCTTTAGGAAAGATCCTCCTATCCATGATGGTTAGTCTCCTTAATAATTATCACATCTAAAACATATCCTCCTTGCCAGGATGATAAGTCTCCTCAATTATCCCTTCTAAAAAATATCCTCCTAGCCATGATGGTTAGTCTCCTCAATTATCCCTTCTCAATATATCCTCCAAGCCATGATGGTTAGTCTCCTCAATTATCCCTTCTAAAAAAGTATCCTCCAAGCCATGATGGTTTTCATTTCAATAATCCCTTCTAAAAAGATACCTCCTTGTCATGAGTGTGAGTCTCCGCAATTATCCCTTCTAGAAAATATCCTCAAGCCATGACACAGCAGTTCCACATGCATAGCGCGTACACACAAAAAGGTTCTGGAATGCGTTAGTGCTGTATTTGTGAACTCCTATGATGCCGGTGACGTCACACAACATGGCGCCGTCCACATACAGAAAAAAACATCGATGTTTCGTCCCAAATAATGTCAAAATTAGACACTTTAGAAATATGTTTTATTATCAAAAATGAGAGGCAATGACGGGATATGATGTTTTCTTTAGGAAATAAATGAGAAAGGGGTATAATTTATATGCTAAGGTGTGTTTTAGGGGAATTTTCGCCAACATTTTTGCAATGCGGGATGAATTTATTCGCGTATCGAAGACTTTTAAAAGCCTTCAATAAAAGCGAAACGCAGTTTTTCAGAAGAAATCTTTATGTTGATACCATTATTCAGTTATGAAAATAGCCAAATCATACTTTTTCTTGGTCGGGTCGACATTTTAAAATAAAATATAGACGTTGAAAGTCAGACTACAATTCCAAAGCTTCGCTGAGAATTCGGGCTGCTGCATCGCTGGTTTACGATCTAGTATCCCACTAATACATGCAAACTGGCGCGCGGGTACCAACTGGCCTAGCGCCGCGTGTGTTGTGTACACAAAAGCGCCGTACAACATGTACACATGGAAACAGGTCAACTCGTACGCGAACCAACTCGTACGCGAGTCAACTCGTACGCGGATTGGTCAACTCGTACGCGAAACAACTCGTACGCGAACCAACTCGTACGCGTGCCAACTCGTACGCGAGCCAACTCGTACGCGAACCAACTCGTACGCGAACCAACTCGTACGCGGGCCGTTTTAGGAGTGGTTTCGAGGATTGGGTTGGCATGGTTGGGAAGAATTTGGAGGGCGCTGTGCGTTGCTGCGGTAACATGACGTGGGGCGAGACGGCTCTATAGTGTGACGGGTAGTCCGTAGTTCAATGTGTGACCGTTGTGTGTGATTGGGAGTGAACCCGTGAATGATGATAATAAAGTAACTGATTTTTGTAAATTCTGATTTTAACAAAAAATAAAAGTCAACTCCCCATTTTTTCTTTTTTTACAAAATATTATTTGGATATACATGTATAATAATTAGGACTAAAAAAACTATCTGACCCAAGCAAAAAACTGGCGGACGCTGTCCGTACAACTGTATAAGCATGCGTGATGCTATATTCCTTTTTTTTTTATAGTAGCTCCTTTTTATACAATAGACCTCGCAAAAATCGGTGTTTTCTTGTCATTGTACTTGTCTAACCAACCAGCAATTGTACCGCGGCATACACAGGTTACAGCGATTCAATCATGCAGTCTTTATACAGTGCGCGGTGCGGCGGGAACCTATCATACTGCACTGGTTATCGCGAAGACAACTTCCCAATCAATCAAGCGAACTTGTAAAAAAAAACAAACAAACGCAGAATTCTTCTCTAAAAAATCGCGAATGTAAGTAGCACTGGCGGATTCAAAAATCAACTACATTTAATTTGAAAATCTCAACCTTTCAGAAAAGGTAAAATTATGCCGACCTACCGTACCGAACCTAATTTCATCTGTCCATGTGAGCTAAACCAATCGTCTAAACTCACGCGTACGAGTTGGTCCGCGTACGAGTTGGTCCGCGTACGAGTCGGTCCGCGTACGAGTCGGTCCACGTACGAGTCGGTTCGCGTACGAATTGACCCGCGTACGAGTTGGTCGCGTACGAGTTGGTTCGCGTACGAGTTGATGTACATGTACATTGTACATGTGTACGTACGTAAAACCATCGCATTCGGGACGATCGCAAGACATTGAAAAAAAAATGCATAAAATGCAAAACAGATTACATAGAAATAAAGAACCATCTATGTCTGTCTTTAGAAGAAAACACTCACTGTGGACAAAATAAACACACAATCCGAAATTCACAAATGTTTAGTGTACAGTGAGTGAGTGTTGTACAGCATATTAAAGCAGCACAATCCAAAACCAAGCATGAATTTGCCATCAGTATAGCTAGACACTCTATCCTCTTAATTTTCTGGGGGAAGTTGCTGACAATTAATTGGATCTATAGCTTAAACAAAACAATAACAAATAGGTTTTTGTTTGGCAATAAACGCATTCTTTATTTCACAACCAATCCATATCATTTTAAAAAAAAAGTTTCATTTACAGAAGTGAAACTTCACAACAGCCATATTTTACAAGTAAATAAAGTGCACATGTAATGCAGGCATGAACTCAACTAGTGAAATCAGGTTTGGCAAGTTATAAAACTATGAAAAGTCTGAAAAATTAAGTAGGGTAGTTGCAGTTGATTCAAGAAAGTGATTCAAAAATTCAACTTTATGAAAGGGCAAATGGATTTAAGCATACCCTCACACCTGAAGACAGTAAAGGTTTTTTTATATTTATTTATTATTAATATTTTGTTGGAGAAAGGAGCTTGCAGTTCAACTGCACTATTTCATAAGTGGTGGTGATGGCAATTTCAGGTTTCAAATTTTCGCTTAATTAAAATTTCACATACGTACGTGTACACGTACCTGGATGACCTGCCCCCCCCCCCCAGATTTACAAAGCACTACATCGCTTCACAATTTGATGCAAACACAGTCCACTGTGAAGTTCTTTTCCAGTGTGAATGCATCATACATCGTCAATTTTGTTAAATATTTTAGAAAAGTTTTCACAAGTACAATCGACGACTCTTTGTTGACTTTTCGACGACTACTGTACTTTGAATAAATACATAACATGAAAATACATGAACATGTACATGTAGTCACCTTTTGTCCTTTGAATACACTACGACGTGTCGCACTTACAGCATATTTTGTAAAATAAATCACAGGATGCGTCATCCTAGGGATACAACGATGCATCGTAGGTTACAATAAGTTTCATGAAATCAGGTACAGATTGTCATCGTCACTACGAACGACACTCTCGCACCCGTGTGTGCGCTGTTCGCGCGCGTGTTTACAGAACCGGGATATTTTGGGTTTTACGAACTGATATCCGCCACAGTGCGGCACTTTTAGAGCGCACCCCGTACATTTTTGTTTTCACGAACTGACACCCAAGCATGATGCGGCAATATCCGTGTACTTGTGCGATTATACATGTACAAATTTTTCATTAAAAAGCGATTTAATTGGTAAAATTAAGATCAGTGTCAGTTCGTGAAACCGAAAATGCATGGGTGCACTCTAAAAGTGTTGCACTGTGGGGGATGTCATTTTGTGAAACCCAAAATATCCCGAATCTGTAAATACTCAAGTGTGCGCAAGTGTCAGTTTGTGGTGACATTGACAAGATATATACCATCTGAAATGGCAATAAGGACAAAACAGAAACTGTCCTGATCAAAGATTACCTCCAGTTATCTCCGAAATTCCCAAACTATCTCAATTCTCTCAACCCCCCCGGCAGTAAGATATTCATTATGAAATGTTTAAGTCAACTATGTTATTCAAGCATCTGGGACAGGGAGGCAGCGAACAGACTACACCTACCACTCCCAATTCAGATCACACTAAAAGTATTTGTACATGTACTCCACACCATGGACTATTTAGAAAGGTTCAGAGTGGGGGTTGGGCTGTTTGAATGAACATGGCCATGTCATGGCATGGTCAGGAACTGATACGGAGTTCAATTGCAATGGGTGGGTAGTACAGATCAGATGCGGAGGAATCCAAAGCTCGTCCATTATACCCGGCCATGCATGTCGTTGCCATCTTCAATCCAGAAATAGGAGGAAACTCTTCAAAACCTGAAAGCACAACAAGAATATAACAAATGGAACAAAGTCAAAGGGATACTTTGAGATGCATGGTGGCAGCAAATACACCAGTCCTTTTCTGAACATCAATTTGAACATGTGCTCATTAGGTTAAATGTGACGTAAAAAAAATGAAAAGGACAGGTAAAAGGAAGCGTCTCAAAAGTCTCTGTTGAAAATTATTGCCAGGTTATTTTCAAGATTGTTGTATGTGCCTTTGCTGGGATTTTTCTTGCACTGAATATGAGTGTTAAAAACTATAGAAGATAAGAAAGTTTCATATTTTATCTTTTTCTATAGGCACAGACATACATGTACAATGTACATGTAAACATGTACTTGTACATGATGTATGTACATGCATGTACATACATGCCATGATCAATTTCTAAGTAAAATAATATCAAGATGCTCACCGATGAAAATTGTCAAATTTTCTGAAGGTATCCTTCGTCAGGGCAGGGTACGTCATCTGCGTGTCATGGTGGAATGCCGTACACTCCGCATAAGAAGAACTGTAGGCAAACCTCCTCCACAGCGTCCGAGAGACAACCAATAGGTCTAGATGGCAAATTAAAGTACACATTCAAGTTCATGTACAGTTACGTGACGTTTGTGTTTGTACACAACAAGAACAAGAGCATGCATTACATTAGCCCCATAACTGTGGCCTATTTAGTACTGGACTGCTTCGTAAACATAGGCCACACATCCACATGTACAAAAACGTGTCGAAATTGCCAAATTTTGATTTTCGCATTTTAGGCTTAGTTTGTAGGGGTTTTTTGCTTTAGAAGCATACTAATAATAATAATAATAACAAAGCATTTGTAAGGCGCACAGTATCTGACAAAAATAGTCATTCAAAGGCGCCGGTCAGTGAAAAGTCAGTGTGTGTGAAGGTAGAGGTCATCATGTGTGAGAAAGAAACTGATTGAAGAGGTGGGTCTTTAGTTGGCGTGTGAAGAGAGATAATTGGTGTATTGCCCTTAACTCGTCTGATAACGAGTTCCAGAGACGCGGTGCAGAGCTGGAAAATGCACGGTCTCCGTAGGTCGCCAAACGAGTCTTCGGGACAAACAGTTTATTGGATGACGACGACCTCAGACCTGGTCTCAGTTGACGATGTTGAACCATTTCCTTCAGATACAGTGGGGCTAAACCATGAAGAGCTTTAAAAGTAAGAAGGAGAACTTTGTAATGGATGCGGTACTGGATTGGTAGCCAATGAAGTTTGCGCAAGATGGGTGTTATGTGGGAAGATGATTTCGTTCTTGTGAGTGTGCGAGCGGCAGAGTTCTGGACAAGTTGGAGACGTTTTATCGTATGTTGTGGTAGACCTACAAGTAGGCTATTGCAAAAATCCAATCTGGATGATATGAAGGCATGGATGAGTTGTTCTGCGGCAGAGAATGTAAGTGAGTTTCTTACTGCTGCTATACGTCGTAGATGTATGTAAGAGGACTGACAAATAGAAGAGACATGTCGTTCAAGGTTCATTGACTTGTCAAAAATGACACCAAGATTGCGGGCTTCAGAGCAAGGAGCGATATGTGTATCTCCTATGCGTATGTCAGAGATGTTGACTTTGTGTCTGATGTGCTGAGAACATATGACAAGGTACTGTGTTTTAACTGCGTTGAATTTGAGGAGATTGGCTGTCATCCACTGTTGGATGTCTTTCAGGGATGTTTCAAGAATACGGTGTGTAATAGTGTCATCACCAGGAGAACTTGGACAGAAGGTGGCAAAGAGTTGTGTGTCATCTGCATAAAAATGAGGGTGTAGGCCATGACGTCTTGCAATGCGCCCTAAAGGAGATATGTATAATGTGAACAGCAGAGGTCCTAATACTCACCTAATACTCACCCTATTTATAGGCTAGTCAGAAAGTGCTGCCTTTTTCAGATGTCTAATTTTTGTGAAATTTCATGTTGAAATTTTGATACGCAAACGTGTAAAAATGAATCTGGAAATTTGAAAAAGGCAGCACTTTCTGATTAGCCTATAAAGAGGGTGAGTATGCTTCTAAAGCAAAAAAAACCTACAAAGTAAGCCTAAATGCGAAAATCAAAATTTGGCAATTTCGACACGTTTTTGTACATGTGGATGTGTGGCCTATGTTTACGGAGGCAGTCCAGTATTAGGCCACATTTATGGGGCTAGCATGATGCATGCCATTGCCAGCAAATCCTGACCACGCTGACTAAAATTTACATGAAATTTAAAAATCATAATGAAATTGGAGGATTCAGGACTGTTACTGTTAGGATTAAGGAATGCATTGTGATTATTTGTTACGAATACGATTTTTCTGGGTAATTGCAACTAGCAAGGCACACTGGGCAGAAATATTTCTTAGATGAAAGTCTTCTACATACACGAGTCGTTGCGTCGTCCAAAAGTGCGTGCTGTGGGATAGCTCAAGGCGCCTACGCTACGACTGTTTCATGTACAACATTACTGTAAATAACTTCCTGTCATGGCGCGGCGTACGTACACAAAATCCTTGTGTCGCAGGCTAAAAACAAGGAGAAACTACAAAAACTACATCTTCTGAGCAGAGTAAATACATAATCTATATAGGCTTACCTTTGAGATTTCCGTCTGAATCTCCGAAATCATGCCAAAACATGGCGACGAAGGTCCCTACTCGTCACGCCATGACACTGCATGTACACTTCGTACGTTGCGACTTGACGAATTCCTGTTTTATTCACCCTCAATATTGGCTAAAATCTCACGAAAGCATGTCGACCCAAACCTTTCGTCCATATCAACGTGAACCTAGATAACTGAATACAGGTCAACTCGTACGCGAACCAACTCGTACGCGACCAACTCGTACGCGGGTCAATTCGTACGCGAACCGACTTCATTGATGGTTTGTAAAGCCTTATTTGGTAATCTGTTGCATATTCATTTTAATAAACCAATCAATTTTTATATCTTTTGCGGGGTATTTAAATCCACCAACGAAACAAAGGGATCGCTAGCGCTGTGCGTAAGGTTTATTTACATCGCGCTAGGTTGTCACGTGGTATTACCACTAACTCAATCTCGCCAACAGAGGGCGTACTTTTTTATGCGTGAAACTGCCGGTGTAGCGTGAATATCCGACTCCATGAAATGTGGGCTCATTGGTAGTACTGCGCACGCGTGAGTACGACACTATGCTATTTTTAGGATCGTTTCGTGAGAGTGACCTGTCACGTGCGAGGGATCAACCAATAATAGGGAAATAGGGGTCCGATTTTCATAGGAGTCGGATTTTCATGTGACACCGTGATGATGGTTAGTCACTTCAATTATCTCTTCTAAAAATATCCTCCAAGCCATGATGGTTTTCATTTCAATAATCCCTTCTTAAAATATCCTCCTAGCCGTGATGATAAGTCACCTCAATTATCCCGTTAAAAAAAACCCTCCTAGCCGTGGTGATTAGCCTCCTCAATCATCCCTTTTAACCCTAAAGGGGCCGGGTTATTTTGACCATCTCTCAGCCGGGGGGGGGGGGGGGGCCGGATTCGGCCCCCCCCCCCTAAGATCTCGGCCATCGAGTGACGAACAATTTTGAAACTCAATACATGCATAGAGCAACTCTTCCTTGATATACCCAAGAAATTTCATGACTATAGGTCAAAGGGGTTTGGAATTATGGCTAATTAATTATTCATATGTACGAATGGCAATTCTGCTCTGTGTACACGACGTATATGCAAAAATTCAGTTTTCACGGCGCGTAGCGCCGGAAATTTTTTCGCTACGCGGCAACCCGTGGTCCGATTTTTATGTTTTTGGTATCAAAAGATGCGCAAAGCTCGAGGCTAAAAAGTCATAACAGCTCGGGTCGCGAAATTTTTTTTTTTAGAGGCTATCACGGAAAATGTTGAGGGGGGGGGGGCGGATTCCGCCCCCGGCCCTTTTAGGGTTAAAATCAAATATCCTCCAAGCAATGATGGTTAGTCTCCTCAATGATCACATCTAAAAATTATCTTCCAAGCATTGATGGTTTGTCTGTTCAATAATCTCTTCTGAAAAATATTCTCCAAGCCGTGATGTTTTTTATTTCAATAAGCCCTTCTAAATAAAAATATCCTCCTAGCCATGATGAGAAGTCTCCTCAATTATTCCTTCTCAAAAATCTCCTCGTCTCCTCAAAATCTTCCAAGCCGTGATGGATTGTGTGTTCAATAATCTCTTCTAAAAATATCCTCCTAGCCATGATGGTTTGTCTCCTCAGTTATCCCTTCTAAAAATATCCTCCTAGCCATGATGGTTAGTCTCCTCAATTATCCCTTCTAAAAATATCCTCCTAGCCGTTATGATTAGTATCCTCAATTATCCCTTCTCAAAAAATATCTTCCAAGCCGTGATGGATAGTGTGTTCAATAATCTCTTCTGAAACATATCCTCCAAGCCATGATGATAAGTCTCCTCAATTATACCTTCAAAAACTATCCTCCGAGCCATGATGGTTTTCATTCAATAATCCCTCTGAAAAATATCCCCCTAACCGTGATGAATAGCCTCCTTAATTATCCCTTTTAAAAAAATATCCTCCAAGCATTGATAGTTAGTCTCCTCCATTATCCCTTCAAAAATATCTTCCGAGCCGTGATGATAAGTCTCCTCATTTATCCCTTCAAAAGAATATCCTCCGAGCCATGATGGTTTTCATTCATTAATCCCTCTGAAAATATCCTCCTAACCGTAATTATAAGTCTCCTCAATTATCCCTTCTAAAAAAATATCCTCCAAGCAATGATAGTTAGTCTGCCCCCATTATCCCTTCAAAAATATCTTCCTAGCCGTGATGATTAATCTCCTCAATTATCCCTTTAAAAAAATATCCCCCTAGTCATGATGGTTAGTCTCCTCATTTAGCCCTTCTAAAAAATATCCTCCAGGCCATGATGGTTAGTCTCCTCAATTATCACTTTTAAAAAATATCCTCCTATCCATGATGGTTAGTCTCCTCAATGATCACATCTAAAACATATCTTCCAAGCCGTGATGGATAAATTGTGTGTTCAATAATCTCTTCTACAAAAATATCCTCCAAGCCATGATAGTTTTTATTTTAATAATCCCCTCTAAAAAAAACCTTCTAGCCGTGATGATTAGTCTCCTCAATTATCCCTTCTAAAAATATCCTCCAAGCCATGATGATTAGTCTCCTCAATTATCCCTTCAAAAAATATCCTCCGAACCATGATGGTTTTCATTAAATAATCCCTTCTAAAAATATCCTCCTAACCGTTATGATAAGTTTCCTCAATTATCCCTTCTCAAATATCCTCCTAGCCATGATGGTTAGTCTCCTCAATTGTCCTTTCTAAAAAAAAATAGCCTCCTAGCCGTGATGATTAGTCTCCTCGATAATCCCTTCTTAAAATATCCTCCTGGCCAGATGGTTAGACTCCTCAATTATCCCTTCTCAAAAATACCTCCTTGTCATGAGTGTTTGTCTCCTCAATTATCTCCTCAAAAATATCCTCCAAGACGTGATGGCTAGTCTCCTTAATTATCCCTTTTGAAAATATCCTCCTGGCCATGATGATTAGTCGCCTCAATTATCCCTTCTAAAACAAAATGCTCTCTGATGAATATTTTGAGTTTCTGAGACACATTCGATTGACACTTGACAAACAGATGGTATGTCTGGGAACAAAAGCTTTTGCCTGAGGCAATGTCCACAACATTACAAAAAGTGGGAACGCCACCATTTCTTTGTAAAATTATAATTCGAAGTAAATTTGACCGTGATGAATCGTTTGAAATAACCGATGACGTCATGATGCCGTCACAACTTTTTCCTTAATATTTTGGACCAGGGTTCAAGTTCATCTTTTTTCCTTGATCCGTTTCGAAGGAATTAGATTTGTTTTTAATTAAAGGGTAATTGTTTGCATAAATCTTTAATTTAACCGGGATAACCCCGGAAGGAAAGGTCAGACGATTTTGTTTTCGAAAATCAGAAATGTTTATCAAGGTATAATCTATCAGATTATAAAGTGTAAACATGATTGTTCTTTTTGTCAATAAGCTTGTGGCATTGAAATCGTTTGTAATTTGATACCTGATGGCGTCATTATGACGTCAGAGTTATATACTCACTTCGGAATCAGGGTTGGTGTTTGTTCAAGGTTTCCAGTTTATACCATGTACCGTTGAGAAAAAAAAAATCGTACAGAATTATTGCCTGGAATAAAAAAAGAAGGAAGAAAAAAAAGGAAAGAAAGGGATAAAATAATTCTTACCATTTCAAAACCGTGATCGGGTCGTACACGATCACACAAACATATCAGGTTTTTGTTGTTCGGAATGAGGAATTCCTGTCTGACAATATCCGCTACTACTTCCATTTTGGACTCTCAAAACGAAATTGTCGAAATAATGACTGTTTTCTTTACTTCTTCGCAAACTCATTTGGATTCTTGTCGCTATGGATAGCGAACTAAATCTTTGGAATATGTTATTGTCAACAACACGGTTGTACAGGTTCGACTGGTTTTGATCACATTTTGGCTGCATTTTATTTCAAGGGTACATTACATCAGGTTCCCTGCTGTGATTCAGAACAGTTGAAATTGATCGTGATTCGTACTTATTCCAAATACTTTACGCACTTGTGATTTACATCAGGTTCCCTGCTGCGATGTTACTTTATTATTTTAATTGTCAAACATGAAATCCTGGTTCGATGTACTCACACTTTTTCCGGCAATGAGAGTCTTTTGGACATTTTTTGACATGAGATCGATTAATTAAAGCAGAATATGTATGCTCCTTGTGACTCCTGCAACTTCAAATTCGAGCAATGTTGAACAATTAAGAGGAACATAGGATCTTTTGCCCTTGGTGTTTTTTTTTGTTAAAAGCAACAAAATTGATCAAAATCTGAAGTATAGGGTGTATATCTAGTAACCTGTTGCAATTTCAGCGCATTCTATACTTTTGAGAAAAGAGAAAACGCAGTTTCGAAGGTTTGCGGAAATGTAATCGGGAAAAATGGACCGCTCGACTAAACTAAATAAAACTAAATGCTGGGGGAACTCACTTAAGAAAACCTAATTAATCTAATGATCGAATAGGGTAAAGACGCGAGGAAATGCAAGAAGTGGGACAGTGACTCAAAATGTAGGTTTCCTCAATAAACAAAAATAAGAAAAATAACTTTATTGATACTAAAGCAATGACCAAAAGCCAAACCAGTGTAACCTTAACCAAGACCAACACACAGTAAAACTATTAAACGAAACCCAGAATTGAAACAATTAAAAACACAGTGCCAAAGAAAGTTACAGATTAAAATCAAAATGGCTTTCAAACCTGTTAAATAAAACAACAAAAAATACAATCGATTAAAATATACACTTCTTCAATCAAATTTAAGAAACACAAAGTCTTAAACATTGAATCCAAACTAAGTTTATAACAAAAGATACTTCCAAGTCCGATCTTTAAAATACAACTTTAGAAATGAAATTCCAAAGAAATAAAGGAATAATATGATTGTAAACAACTGATTCTTCTCAGAACCACACAACTCAAAATTATTCACATGGTGTTACCGCAAACCTTATATTCTTTTTTACATGTTTACCATGCAAACATACAAGTCTCATTTAAGAGTAAACGTATGCACAACTGGATGCCGTTGCTTACACACGCAAAAGAGTGTGCCAGCCGGCACACTATTTTAAAAACAGCAAAGCCTTCATTTTACTTATTTCATTTTACGCTTAATCAGGCGGAATAATTTTACAGGTTGTTTGAAACCAGTTCTATTGTGAAGTACACTTCCTGTACATTTGCAAGTGATCTTAACTAATTTTAACTTGTTTTTGTTTAGATGTTTCTCAAAAAAAAAAAACCACCGCCCGTACGTGAGTCTAGTCAGGGCCGTTGATGAACGAATTCCTACCGGAATAAATAATCAATCCAAATCACATTTCACCCGACAGAGATTTTTTGCGGCGTTTTACTGATACAATTCAGCTATGCCTCCCCCACCACCCCCCAAGTTAT